GAGGGAGGGAAAGGGAGAAATGGAAGAAGGGAAGGAGGGAAAAAGGGAAGGAGGGAGGGAGGCAGAGACAGAGACAGAAACAGAGAGAAAATAAGAGAGAAGGCTGGGTATAGTTCAGTGGTAGAGTACTTGCCTAGCATGTACAAGGCCCTGGATTTGATTCTCAGTACCACAAAAGAAAGATAAGGCAATTAATTAGGCCCCCAAGTCCCCCATGTCCCTGGGCCTGGTCTCTCCACAGTTGCAGCATGGATAATATGCTTTAAAGTCAGGGGACCATCTACTCCCTTGGAGCAAATAGCTCCACCCTTCCCAGCCCAGAAAGTGACACCAGAGTGGATCTCCTCACCTGGCGGCCCCAGAGCTTGCGGAAGATCTGGAAATAGGCCATGGCCATGAGGCCCAGCGGAGCCAGGTAGGTGACAATGAAAAAGCAACTGTGGTAGATCTTGGGGTAGAGCTCATCTGTAGGGCAGAGAGATGCAAGAGTCAGATCTAACCTGGGAACCCCAGCCAGCCCTGGTTAGCAATGCCACCCTGTCTTAACAAGGTCTAAGGCCAGGCCAGGGGACAGCTGGGCTCCATGTAGGCATGCTGGCAGGGAGAGAACCTGGAGTTGCCAGGTCTAGTGGTCTCTCCCTGGAGGAGCCCCTAGCAGATGTCCATACTAAAGGAGAGATCCACCCTGGGGATCCCCACCCTGGGAATTCCCTGTTGTAGATCCTGCCTTAGGAGTATTGTGCCCCAGAGGTGCCCACCATTACCTGCCCAGTGTTCATCACAGACAGAGAAGAGCCGGGTACGATTGGCTAGCTCAGGCAGCACACTGCTGCATTCCATGACAGCAGCCTGGGGTACCATGACAGCCAGTGACACAGCCCAGATGCCCAAGATGGAGCCACGGGCACGCCGGGCTGTGCTCTTGAACAACAGTGGGTGGCAGATGGCATACCAACGGTCCAGGGCGATGAAGCTGAGAGTCAGCACTGCCACTGACACTGACACGGCCTGCCCCAGGGGGACACAACATCAGAGGCATGAAGGGGGTTGGGGTCACAGGCCAGCGCTACCAGTGCAGCAACTCCTGACTCCACCACTTTCTGACTGTGTGAATTTGGGCAAGTCACTCACCCTCTCTGAGCCTCATTGGCAGAATGGGAATATAGCCTGTATCTAGCAGAATTCTGGTGAGAATAAATGAAATCATGTATGGAAAAGTGTCCAGTTGGAGACCTGACACACACTAGGTTCTCCCCTACCTTGAATGATGATACTCATGGAAGTTTCTAGGTTCCAGGCACTGCTCTCCCTGTCTTCACAACAATGTAGGCAGGTGCTATGTTACAGATAAGGGACTGAGGTACAAGATTCCCTCCATCTGTCATCCTGCTTAAGCCCACCAGAATTAATCATTGAGCAGAAAACCTCAAAGCAGTGGGAAATCCAAGAGACACCTCTCTTACCCTGGAAGGCAGTTCCTTCCCTGCACTTTTGGGAAAACCCATATTCTGACAGGGATGGTCTACTGGTAGTGTGGTGAGCATTGCCTCTGGGGTGTTCCTGATCCCCAGGGTTGCAGGGAGAGGTTTGAGGGCTACTGAAAGGCCGTGTGTCAGCCCTCCTTCTACTCCACTGACCCCAATCTGGGCATCCCGATGCCAACAACTGGGGAAGAAGGCCCCAGTGAGCTAGAGAGGAGAGAAGAGACAGTTCCCTCTGCTCCCTGCTGGGGTCAGGGAGCAAGCCCAGTGTTTGTGTCTATCACTGTGGGCTTTTGTCTCCCTTCTGCTATGGACCTGGAGGTAACTCTGTGTGCACACACATGGCCATGAATATGTCTATGTGAGTATGTGAGGTTGTGTCTGTGTCCCTGAGTGTCCAGCCTGGTGGCCTGCATGGCCCTGCAAGGGTCCTGAGTCACTGTAACGTGTCTGAAAGTTCATTGAGACCCACCAAGGTTGTGAGCTTTAGACAGGTATGACAGAGGCTGGTGAGGGGTGTAGAAAGAGCTCACCTGCAGGTAGGGGATGACCTTGCACAAGGCATGGCCGAAGAGCCACGATTCGGTGATGTCCACTAGCAGGCTAGCAGGCAGGCAGATGGCAGTCACCAGCACGTCCGCCAGGGACAGGTTGACAATGAAGTAGTTGGTAACGGTTCTCATGTGGTGGTTCCGCCACACAGCCAGGCAGACTGCAGAGAGCAGCGCAGCAGGGGAAGGTGAAGCCAGCCGCAGAGCCACGCCCATCCGGGGGCTCCATCCCCTCCCCGCCAGCCCGAAGGGGCAGGTAGGCGAGGCCCAGGACCCCCTCCAGTCTCCAGGGAAAGATGCAGACCTACCCAGCGTGTTGCCCACCAAAGCTACGAAGAACACCGCCACGTAGGCTCCGATGAGAACCCACTCGTACTGCTTTGGGTACAGATAATCGCGCCACAGGTAGCGAAGGAACTCGTCCTCATAGTCTGGAGGCAGGTGCGATGGTTCCCCGCTGCCAGTGGGGACCCCGGACTGGGCCCCGGGAGTGGCCGAGGGCTCCATGAGCTCAGGACCCGCTGCAGCTGAGGAGCATCCTGGGCTCTGCGGAGGAAGGGGAGCCCCCGCCAGCCCTCAGCCCACGCCTCTCAGGGGGCCCGGTTCTTGCACCCAGATCTTTGGGGTCCCAGCTCAAGTTTCCTGAAAGAAAGAAGGGAAGGAAGAATGGAGAAAGGAAGGGAGGAGGAAAAGAGGGAGCATTAGGGACTGTTCTCAGGCATGAGTGAAGTGGAAGAGGAAGGCATCTTACCTCCCTTGTTCAGCCTCAGTTTCCCCATCCAACGGAGTTCAACGGAGTAATAAGGGCACCTATCTCCAAGGGTCACGGTGAGGAGAAATGAGCTCTAAGGCATGCCAAGCACTTCTCGCAGAGCCTGGCGAACCCGGAAGCCGGCCTCGCTGACGTTGTCGTGTAGATATCACTATTAGGAAGCCCTGCTTGTGGATGGAGAGATGGGAGGCTCAGAGAGGTTGAGCCCTTTGCTCAAGGTCACAAAGCAAAGTCCACCAGTCACCATAGATTGAGGAAGGGAATCTATCCCAATGGCAAATATTCTCTCCCTTGAGTCAGTTCCCAAGCTTTGGTTTGGTGTTAGAAAAAAGGGTCCAGGGAGGTATTAAAGACCCGGGCCCCGCCCACCAGGCACGCTAAACCCTTCCTGGTGTGCACACACTATAACACCATAAGCACACACGCGCTGGGAACGGTGCTGGAAAGGACTGACCATCTTCCTAAGAGAGAATCAAAAGCCCCTGGCCCAGAGGCGGGGGGCGTCGGGCCGCTGCGAGGTCGCCTGGAGTCCCCCGGGCCGCAATGCTCCGGCCGCCCGCCAGGGGTCGCTGGGCAGGCGCACAGGCCTCTCCATTCATAAATCCGGCCTCGCTCCGGCCGCTTCCTCCTCCCTTCTCAGACCCCTCCTTCCCAGGGCGGGGCAGGGACCACCCCAGACTTGTATCTGAGGTGGATGGTCCCCAGAGACCCCTGGGGTGGGGAGAACGACGCCGGCCTCCCGATTTCCTCTGCGGGACCTCCCTGCTCCTTAGGGGGTCCGGGGTGCCTCTGGGAGGGGGGCAGCAAGAGCACTAAGGGGGTTCCGCCCGGAGGTGAGCAGAGTCGGATGTTGGCGCAGCCTCCCAGCACCCAGGTTACCCTCCCTAAGACTCTGGGCTCCCCCATCCTCCGCGTCAGATCCTCTGGACCCCCATCCCCGGCCTGGGGGCGGGGATCCCCTGCGCCCGGCACCTGTTGGCTCCGAGGCCCGGGTTGCTGGTACCCGGACCTTATGCCCGGGACTTCGCCTTGGTGTGGGGAAGGCTGGGCGGTCTGGGATGCGGACGCAGCCGGGTCAGCCCCCTCCAGAGGCGGCGCTGCCAGCGCGCCGGCCCGGGTACCAGTGCCCGCCGTAGCTCGGTAGGGGTTCCGCCGGGCAGCGCGCCACTGGGAGGGGCGTCGGGGCTGGAGGCAGGGCGGGGAGGGGAGCCCCCGGCGGGTCTGCGCTTGGCGTCGCCCAGCCGGAGCCCCAGAGGGCGGAGGGAGACGCTGCTCCTTGCCATCCATTCCCTCTTCCACCCCACCCGCATTCACGCATCCATCAGTTCATTCATACCGTCCGCATCCCTTCAAGCACTTACGCTCCGGGCCACCACGCATTCCCCGCGCACCTAGGGTGTGCCCGGAGGCGTCCGGGGGGTCGCAGCGCAGGGGTGGACGCCTCTCCTCGCTGCCTCACTTGGCCCTTGAGGATGGCGGCACAGGTGGGTCTCACAGGGGGGAAAGGATGTCTGAGCCGCCTCCAGCCAAGCTCCAGCCACTGCTGGAGCAGCTAGTCCCCAGTGACACCAGAAAGCCTTGCTCTCTTCCGCATCTCTTCGCCCCAAATCCTTCTTGTTCATACCTACTTTCCCCCTCCCAAGACAGGGACTTGGGGTGGAGGCAGAAAAAGGGGAGCCAGAGGTACTCATTAATTCAACAAATATTTACCAAGCTATGTGCCAGGCAACAAACCTGTAATACAGCTGCCATTTCCACAGGATACCTAATGTATGACCTCACTTTATCCTCACGTCAGTCTGGTGAGGTAGTTATTGCCCCCATTTTACAGGTGAGGGGCCTGGGATACACCTCGTTCGGGGCTGTGCCCAAGGTCACAGGGCAGAGACAAAGCTGGGGTTCAAAACTGTACTCCCCTTGAATCTACCAGCTTTCCTCACCAGAGGCTTCCAGCCACACAAGGGCTCTCACGAGGAAGGCATTCACCTATGGTGTCCACAGAGCTAGGGGACCAGGGCTTGGGGATGAGACAGAAGGGCTTTGGGGTACAGCATGTTAGAGGAGCTCTTCCACGGCTCTGGGAGCAGGAGCACCAACTTGGAAACCCAAGGAATGAGGAGATGGTGGTCTTGAGGCAAGGTGGAGGGTGTTGGAGAAGGGGTCTGTAAGGTAAAGACAGCAGTAGATGGTGTCAGGTTGGGCCATCTGGGAGTCCCAGGTAGATGGAGGGGGGACCTCCTGGGCCTTCAGGCAGTCACCCTGACCACGTGTTTCCTCAGGACAGGACCTTCTCAGCAAATGAGGCTCTCCTCTCTCCACATCCTTCCCCTCTTGGGGATGTAACTACCATCTTCCCTTTGCAGCCAGAACCCTCTTCTAAGGCACTGGAGATGCAGACAGGGAGGAGGGTTAGGGCAGCACCCTAAAGGATCCAGTGCCCTTCATTCTGGCAGAATTTTGTCCTTGGGTAGCCAAGGCATTTGTATGCAGGGGAATGGATCTTAGATCTCTGGGATTCTGAAACTGTCCAGCCTGCTGTGGGTGCTGCCTGAGGCAGAGAAGAGGGGCTGATGGGCATATGCATATATATGAGTGTGTTTGTGATGTGTCTAGGGAGTTCAGTCTGTGACTCTGTGTTTATGTCTCCGTGTATGTGAGAGCAGGCTCTTGGTTGATGACTGAGGGACTGGGGGGTGTCAGGTCACCTTAGGTGGGTTGTGTCTGATTCTTGGTTTGTACCTGTGATTTGGTGTCTATGTGTAAGGAGTATGTGTGTTGAGGGGATGTCTGTCTCTCTTTCTGAGTCACTGCAACTGTGACTTTGACCAGCATTGTTTTCCTGTGAGTGCGGGAATGTGAGTGTGGGGCATGCCTTTGTGTTTGCAACTCTGCGTGTGGATGTGGAACCTGGTACATCTGCTCCCATGGCGATGACTCATCCTTTCACTCTTACCCCCTCCCCAATCTTGAGCCTTGACCATTTGTCATGTAGGGGTCCAGTAGGGGGCTTACAGAATTTGGGGGATGGGAGGAAGATCATGCAGGGACACTCAAGTGGCAGCTGCTGCAAGCTAGGTGCAGCCAGGGATGTACCAATTCCTGCTTGTCTGTGTGGGTGGTGGGTGGGCAGCCCAGGCTCTGCACCCAGTCCATAGCTCAGAGCTGCATATTCCAGGCCTCTCAGACACTGTGGATTAGAGCAAAGAGCCCCCTACCCCCCAAATAATTGTACATGGGAGTATATTTGTTTGTGGAGAGGAAACTGTAACTGTGATTCTGTCAAACCCATTGAGACCCTCCAGTATCATAGAGCCAGTCCCAGTTCCCCTTACCAGGAACACTCTGTTGCCCCCTTTTCCCCTTTTATTCCCAGGTACCCCAAAGATGTCTGCTTCCCAAGACAAGGGGTCATGAGTGACCCCTTAAGGTGGCAGATCTCTTTCTTTCCCCTATCAGACCCTGACCACCAGGAGACTATGGGCCTCAGGACCCTCTGGTGCTGAGTTGGGTACCCTAATTCATCTATAGCCTGCAGGTGGTGTGGTTAGTCATTGGATGTCTACTTAGAGGAAACATGAGTCAGTGATGGTCTGAAAGACCCACAAGAACTGCAATTTTTTTGTTCTTGGACACAGTGGTGCTGGGCTCTGGGAACTCCTGGAAAAATGCCAGCACCCAAGAGGGACCAAGGACTTTAGGCCTTCTATCCTTGGGCTGGGCCATCAGCTCTGGTGCCTCCTCTTCTTGGGGCGGGCCGGCCCAAAGCCTTGGCTTTGCTGGAGCTGTCTGTCAAACCGTATCCACATGACCTTTTTCCTGGAACCAGCCAGCTCCAGCCTTGTTGATCTAATCCTGAGCCTCCAAGCCACAGGTCCCTGTCACATCCATCTTCAAGTATCAGCCTGGGCACTGTCCCCAGGAGCTGGTTCCTCCTCTTTCCCTATTCCGATGTGATTTAGAGTAACCTCAGTCTGGCTAGACTAGAGCAATTGAAAGGTAATTGGCTTTGCAGTTTGTGGATGCCGAAGGCCTGGGCTTATGGGTGGGTGACTCTGGGCAGGGGGAAGAGGTGCTCTTTAGAAGGACCCAAGTCAAAAAATAGAGTAAGGTGGAGTATAGGGTTCTACTGTAGCCCAGGAAGGGGGTTCTAAGGGCTGGGTCTGGGGAGGCCATTGAGGCAGCTATGAAGTTTTTGGTCCCTGGATCAAATGGCACTGGCCTCAGGTAAGAGCTAGCCAAGTGTTAATGCCCTAGAGAGATACCCAGCTACCTCATGTCCTCTGCATCTAGGCTGAGCCCTTGGCCTCTGTTACTGTTTCTTCCTTCAGGCCTGGGGGGCTTAAAGGGATCAGTATGCACTAGGAAAGCAGGAGCCCTGGGCCTGGAGTTGAGACCCTCAGAGACTTAGAAAGCATCGTCCAGATAGACAGATGTGGGTCAGGAGAGAGGGCTTGTTCACCCAGTGTGCTAGATAGTGTTAGTGTCAACTTGACACACCTGGGTTGAGGGAGCCTCAATTGGGAAATTGCCTCCATAGGATTGGCCTGTGGCCATGTCTGTGGGGCATCTTCTTGATTGTTGAGTGATGTGGGAGGGCCCAGCCCACTGTGGGTGATGCCACCCCTGGGTAGGTGGGCCTGTGTTGTATAACAAAGCAAACTGAGCAGGGCCCAGGGGAGCAAGCCAGTAAGCAGCGATCCTCCATGGCCTGTGCTTCAGCTCCTGCCTCCAGGTTCCTGCCCTGAGTTCCTACCTTGGGCTCCCTGATGAACTGTGACCTGGGAGATGTAAGATAAAATAAACCCTTTCCTCCCCAAGTTGGTATTGGTCAGAGTATTTTGTCACAGCAATGGAGAAACAAACTAGGACACCCAGCTACTCAACAAACCCAGAAGACCCTACAATAGCTAAGGGGACCCTGCGGTGTAGGCTGGGAAGCCCCTGTGTAGAGATGATTGGGTGAAGTCAAATGCATGGGGAGATCCTGTGGAGGCAGGGCCCCAGCTGAATGGGTTTAGATTCCACAATGATACTATGTGTGAGCCCAAGGGGAAAACCAACCCCCATGGTGGGTGAAGGTATTGTTAAGGGAAGGCCAGGGCACAGGCTTTGGGACCAAAAGGGCCTGGCTTGGCT